TTGTCATCTGACCGAGTCAGGAAGTGTTTGCACATGGCATCAACTTTGACATCAAGGCTGGGAAAGCACCCAGACCAAGCTGTTGAAGCTCAAAACCGACTCTGTTGCCACATGTCGTTCGTAACGTGCTGGCTCCATCCTATTCCCTCGAGCAGGTTGATGATTCCAAGCAGACATCGGTGCCGCCAGTGATATTGGGATATGTCAGTTTTATGGTTCTCGCCGCTTGGCATGATTCTGCATTCAGAGTATGGCTGTGACAAGCATGATTGGATATCCGCCTAGGTTTGCTTCTACGCTCGTGAGCACGAGACGGTGAACAGCGCAGCCCTATCTGTGATCGTCAACACCCTTCTCTGGGCGCCTCGGCAGCTCATGGGCCCCAGCCAAACAGAACTCCGTCTTGACTTGTGTCGACTGCGCCCCCGTCTTCGTCGGGTCAGGTCATCCTGGGCAGATGCTGCAGTGCAGTCGAAGCAGGGCAGCATCTAGGCGGGGGCAACGTGCGCAAGCAGATGCCCCACAGTCTAAGCACAAATCACGTAGCAGCCCCTCAGGTCAGATTGTCAACCGAAGGCCTGGAGACAACACTCTTAAGCACGAAGCATCACGAGAGCTTCTTTCTGCAGGGCGCTGGATGCGGCTGAGAACTGGACCAAGTTTCCTGTACGATCTGCTGCGGAATGCTCTGCACCTTGTCGTCCAGCATCCTCTGTGAACGCCAGAGTGTTCGGTTGAAAAGTTACGTCTGACTTTGGCATGGTGTCGTGCACCCAAGGCATGGCTCTTCGGGCAGTACATAGGCTGGAGAGTCGCGCTTTTTTCGTCCCGCTGCACAGTCAAGCCAAGAGCCGGCAGGACATCGCTGCGGTTCGGTCTTTGCCAGCGCTGCGCTTCCTGACAGCACTGGCCCAGTGCAGTAAAGCTGAGAGAGAGCGCGGCAGAGAGAGCACCTGAGAGGATCGGCACTGCCGTGGGCATCGTCGCTGTGAGCGTCTCCGAGGCCGAGGGGAGAATGTGCCTAGACATACTTTTTTTCTACTTCAACAGCTGCTTACAGGTCACAGCCTGGCATGCGAAGCCCAAAAGAGCTCCTCAGGCACGCAGCATTCGCCTGCTGTGCCGGTTTGCCACAGAAAATGGCCAGGCCAAGCAACTACGAGGCAACACAATCAAAGGAAAATGGACTTGGGATGAGGCTGAAGTGACATTTGCTTGTTCGCTGTCAACCGGTAGCCCTGGCAAGAACACATGAATGCAGGTGAACAAGCATTCCTCGCCTGAAGATGCGTGGATTGTCATTGATGGGCTTCTTGGAATCACAGACCTGAAGCACTCGTGTTCCTGTGGCCACATGTCTTGATAAAGTAGAAGACGCAGCAGAGGCGAGTGCTCGATGTCACGGACTTTGCTCCACGGCATCCAGGCCCGTGCATCGGAAACTGCAATAAACTTGACGACGTCATAGTTTGAATTGTTGATCCTGCGTGGCTTGCCCTAGGCGGCCCCATCATTTTGACGCATGCGGCTTAGATTTGCTCACAGTGCTTCATCGCAGCGCAAAGAGCCGCAAAGAGCGCACATGTGGGCAGCACCATGTAACGTACGACAAATTCAGGTATGCTGGCGTTGACGCATCTGACCAGTTTGCCGCCTTTCATCGGCCTCGGGTGTACGCGAGACTTGCGCAGTTCCACGTCGGAGAGGCCAATTGCACGGAAGCAAATTTTCACGGATGGACTGGGCCTTCTCGGATTTCTCTGCTTCCGGAAGAAACAGGTGGCTGGCGACGAAAGCTCGCCCACCAAGGCCACGGAGGAGTATCGTGCCTGAGCTCTACTCGTCAAGCTCAGCTCGTCTCTCTCTCTCTCTCATTATGTATATTTTTCTGTAGGAGTGTTCAGGGCAGTGTAAGTGAGTCGCTTGAGCGTTGTCCAGGTGCTTTGAGGAAGAAGCTGTGGGAGGAAGGCTGGTTTGAGCCACGCCTCCCGTACTTCGTAGCTTGCCATATGTTGAGCCGGTTCTGCTTCTAAGATGTCGATGAGGCAAGCTTGCCAGTCTTGGGCGTGTGCCTGCGTCGGTTGAAGCTCCGGATTCATGCTGTTGGCCAAGAAGCTAAGGCATTCAAAGCTGTAGTTTGTCTTTTGCTCCTAACCTTCGTCATCGGCGTCCTCACTTACCTGAGCCCAGCGTGGACTCTGACCCGTACATTGGTTGCTGGTGCAGCCGCCGGCTCAACGCGAAGTGTTCACGCACCTCATTTCTTGTTCCCCTTAGCCGGCATTCTCAGGCTATGGGCATTGCTTGGCAACAGATAGCTTTCCTGGCACATGACGCGGACCATTGGGGAAACTAGGCCTTGAGTTTCAGCTGTCTGCTAAGCGGCGTAGAACTCAAAGAAATCCCGAGGAATCACCAGTCCGCCGAGCGGCAGCTCCTTTAACCCCTTGTCGCATCACGGCAGCACAGGAGATTCTGTTGATTCTGTCTGGTTCATGCTGCTGAGTCTCGTGATGGCGTTTTCGCCTGATCTAACTTGCCTGATAAGTGCGGCGCAAGTTGATTGGCCAAGCCATGACTGTCAAAATGAAGTAGGTCGTTGCTAGACGAGGGCTAGCGGCATATCTAACTTTCAACGAATCCTTCCCTTGCCCTGGTGGCTTGACCCCAGGGCGAGTGGCTACAGCTGCCTCGCAAAAGTTTGGCGAAGCAAACTGTCGATGCAGGTGGTTCCTTGCAAGTGTTCTCTTCGGAATCTCCAGAAGTATGTGGAATGAAGCAGCTCGGTTGAATGCCAGACCAGTGCGGTTGACTGTGCTTGGAAAGATATGCTGGTGCTTGCATCGCGGACTTCTCACGTCCAACCGACATCAGGAGCATTCGATGCATCATGCTATCACTTTGCGACCACAGGAGCCTTGCATCACCGAAAGCAGCGGAATTCCGTTCATGCCAGGCTCACAACATTAGCTAACAGGATTTTTTGCTTGCGGCCTGTTCTCAGGAAGATCCCCAGTTCAACTACCTCCCTTTGTGGCTGATATCAAAGAAGGACTGCGGCTGACTACAGACAAACTTCAAGACCAGGAGAGCAGGAAGCATCTTGAAAGGACTCCTCACCGACACCGGTAGGAACTTAGATGGTTGTATGCTTGAGAGAGGGTCACCGACGGTGATTTGCGATCGCAAGCTCTTGCCGGCTCGGCGAGTCTTTAAGATGTGGAGACGTCCCGGCACAGGGAAGTCCGGGCCCAGCAGCTGTTTCATCTCGAACCCCCCCAAGCTTGAACTGAACATTGGAGGCTTCGACTGCTGCAGGAATGCTCATTTTGTGGGGCTTTCCCTAGTACCACGTGAAACTGATTCTGAAAAACAGGGCAGGTTCATCATTCTCCACTTGATTTTGCCGTCTCGGCTTGAAGCCCTGAGTCCAGGAGCTGGATGTTGCGGGGACCCATGTTGGCTTTCTTACTCGAATGCTCGTTTCTGTGCCTCAGTTCAATTTGCACGTGGAGAGGCTTATGTACCCCGATCAACCGACCATGTGGACTCACTTGGCTTACTGCTTTTTTTTTGTGTGTTTTCCGGCGCCGGGCTTTGCGTCAGCTAAGGTCCAACATTGGACATTCTTGCCGGTTTCGGTAGCATGGGCCTAAGCTCTCTGCTACCATCTGGTGCGAGTGCTGTACCGCACTGACGAAGGTAATTGGAAGGTTCAATTTCTACCTTATTTCAATGCTGTCCGCCCTCAAGCGAGCTCTGACAGCAAAGAGCTCCAGAGAGCTTTCTGGTGGTTTGCTTGATGTCATGGGGATGCTTCTGCTCCTTGGCAGCACCCAAAGGCCAGCCTGAGCCCCCGCTCCGATCTCAGAGAAAGCCTTCGGGGCCTTCGGGGGTTTTCATCTCTCGCGTTTGTCTTCTGCCGATATAAGTCTCTTTCCTAGCAACACGGGGGCGATTGACGCTTCCACGGGTATCACATTGGCGAGTTCGGGCGCTGTTCGGCGACGCAAATGATGATCTTAGATGACACCCAATGCGGACTTCACATATGTGTGCGAGGGGGGCGAACAGCATGCCCAACCGTGGCCTCGACGAATGCGTGGAGGACAGGATGATACAGGATGCCTGCGGTTTCAGAGCTCCTAGTTTCTACTCCTAGCGCGTTTTCACTGCGTCTCCCGTCGTCTCCCATGCCGCATGAACCCAAGGAAGGTGTCCTAAGTGCGACCGGGAGCTGGATGTCAAATATGAAATTGTCCTCGGCGTAGCTTCCCCAAACCTCAGGTTTTTGCACAGCCATGAGTTTTCTGTTTATTCGATGCACCCAGGTTTTGGACTTGGTATGCGGCCTGGATGCATTGTCGGCTTTGTGCTATTCTGAACATATCTGTGTATCATGCTTGACTGACCGCAGGTCGCGTTGGTGTGCAACCTGGACACAGCTGCTGAGCGCACGCTCTTTGTGCTAGCATCCAACTGGACAGCCTCTCGGCTGAGTCCGAGTCCATTGTGCAAAGGTTGCTGCATTGGTCCTCTGCACTGAGGTAGGGATCCTGCACATCCAGCTTGTTCTAAGCCATCTGGCGACCGACACCTTCACTGCCGAGGAGGAGTGGCGCCTGTCAGGATAGGTTTGCAACTCGCTCAAGTCGGTGCGAGGAACGGGTTGAGCAGTTCTTCGCGTTCCAGCTGAAAACATCTCGGAATATCGACTCGAGCTGGCCACCTGGCATGGGCTCAGAGGTGACCTTCACGGAACAGGGCCGCGGGGGAAGATTTTGCTATCACTTTGCCGAGTCGGCAACAAGAAAGACAGGGAGAGGAAGGGACAACGAAGGACTTCGCTGCCTCAATGACGGCAAAAACAGCTTAGCCTAGCCTTGGAGTCTAGGGATCCTCAATTTGCGAGGGTCTGGACTGGGGGGGGGAGGGGTCAGTGCAGGACTTTGCAGGAGGTGGTTCTGGATCTCAGCTCCCATGTATGTATGGGCTTTAAAATTCTGCACAGGGCTGCAAAATAATCCCACCAGAATCCGAGAAGCTGTGGCTGCCAGATTCAGTCGCTCGCCGTCCCTGCCACAGTCTACACCAGAGTCCATATAGGCATGATTCGAACATAATCTTATCCCCTCTTGTAGCTATGATGGAATAGTCAACACAAAAATGGGAAGATTAGAACGCCTTCCACGTTTTATGAGCCCATAGCTGTCGAGTGGGGTTGCGCAGCTGCAGCTATTTCAGTTCATGGGAAACTCGGGCACGGCTGGTGTGGGTTGCAAGACGCTGTTACATAGTCATCTTGGCTTCTGCATCCAGTTTCGAATGCCACCCTGTCGTCCAAGTATCTCTCCAAAGACACCCAAACATGTTTATCCTGCTTTGTCTCCTCTCTCGTTTTCCTCTCTGTGTGCCTGTCCAAATCGGCTTTCTCTTCCCGTCTCTCTCCCTCCCTCCCTCCTCTAGTGCTTTCTCTCTTCTCTCTGTCTCCCTCCCTTCTTCCTTCCCTCTCTCGCTCCAGTGCGTGCTTCGTTGTGATCAGGGGGCAGTAGCAACTTTGAGGGGCAGCTTGCTAAGCAACAGCTGTAGCCTACCAGAAGCGAGAGATGCTTGCACGATCACTCTCCTTCATGCTGAGTCGGTAGGATCAGCCTGATGCATCCTCTGCCGTTCATTCCGCTCCAAAATAGGGTGCGTGCTGGCGCGGGGTCCTCCTCTTCACAAAGAAAGATAGAAGACGGAGGGAGCAGAGAGAAAATGGCAGAGCGAGTGGAAGAAGAGCGACAGAAGAACGAGAGAGACAGAACGAGAGAAGAGAGAAGACGCAATGTCGAAGGGGGGATACCGTCGCCTTCCGTAGTGTATTACAAGAGGACATGGGTTGCTGCAGGTACTAAGGATTTTGCCGTAGTGGGCGCGGGGAAGAGGCCTGAAATATAGTAAGGGTTGGGGTTTGCAGCAACGTGCCTCTCCCGTTCGAGCAATCCAACAGGACAAGTTCCGTGCAGCCCCAATGCCCTTTCCCCACTGCTTTAACAGGGAGGGGGGCGCCTTGGCGCGGGCTAACTCAGTTAGCCTGGACCCGACGGAAGGAAGGAAGAAGGGAGCGGAAGGCTTAGAGTAGTGGAGTTGAGACGTATCATGAAAACCCAGAGCCTTCAGCCTGGAACCCGTGAGGCCGCTACGAACACGAGGCTCAGAGACAACCCTGCATGGCCATTTTAGTTCCTCGTGGGGTTGACATGGTGGGATATATCATATCCCATCACAATTCCAGAAAAACTCGACATGAAAGCGTGAGGCCACCGTGATCATAGATTTCGGACATTACCCGACCTTTTTGGTTTCTCTTTCTGTCTGCATACGCCGTGCTGTAGATGGAGATACATCTACGTGGTCAATTCTGGCCTGGTGCACAGAATGCATTTTTCCGCTGCCCTAAACAAATTATAAATTGTCGCCTCCCCCTGCCGAGCCAAATGAGACCCCATTACAGGTCCCATGCATGGTGTTTAATGGACATTCCTCAGAGAGCCCCCAACGCAACGAAGATGTTTAGGGTTTAGGGTTTCTCGGATATGCAGGAAATCCCGACAGGACCTGCAGCTGACTCCAGCTCCGCACAAACTTGACCGAACCGCGTTTTCAGCGTCCGGTTCAGCTGTTGCGCTTCTCCTCTATAGGAGGAGAAGCAGTGCTTCCACAGTCCTTGACAGTTCTTGCCCGACTGACCTTGGGCCATGCAAGGACATTTGTATGAAGGCAAACGGCGTCATGTCGAGGGTGTACACACGTGCAAGCCATAGTTTCACAAGAGGCCTCGTGATTTGTCCCAGGCTTGATGCCTGGAGCTGCTTGTTGCGGTTTCGCCGGTAGCTCGAGCGTGGGAGTCCAAGGTATGACCACTGGTTTCATGGCGGCTTGGAGCCGCTCGCCGGCCAGCTACAAGGATTCCTGCGTCGGTCAAGAAGCAAACATTGACATGTACAAAATGTATACATTTGTTTTTCCTTTTGAGTTGCCTGGGTATGCTGTTTCTGCACGAGCCAAAGCTGGATCGACTTAGATGGCCGGCCTCACAGTCCTACCGGAACCTACAGAACAAACATGCTGGGTACCATGGTGGTCGCGGGAATTCCGGTTTCTTGGTTATGTGCATGGCTCAGGTTTCAGATCGAACATCATCTGTTCCCTCAGCTCCCACGGCACAATCTGAGCAAGGCTCAGATCGTGATGGATGCTACGCTGCTACAGATGCTTGCTTTGACGACAGCCGATCTTTTGACCCTTGCGCGTGCAGCTGCTTGCAGGTCAAACCCATGGTTCAGGAGATTTGTTCTCGCCACGGCATACCATACCGATCCACCAGTTTCTCTCAAGCCCTACGGGACGTGCCTGAGCTGCCATGTGTGCCATGAAGCGCCTGTGGCACGAGACCTGCCACCAGGACCCACAGATCTTCAGGGCCTGTGCTAGCAATTTGACAGGTGCTGTCCGACTTCCGGGGCTTGGCTATGGACATCGTCAACTTGAAAATGGGCTAACTTCGACATCTGCCGAACGAACAGCAGCACGCGGCCAGCTGACATGAACCTAGCATAGAGAAACAGCATGTAGCGTAGCAGCCTTGTTAGCAAATTTTTAGTGCCGTGAAACTGCTTCGTAGACTGCTCCTCAAGGCGGGACAGCACAATGCGCGACTCCGGGTTGGAGTCGTAGCACCGTACAGTAATTCGGCACATACGTCTCTGCTTTTCGCAACGTGCTGACACGAGGTCAGCACCTGTAGCCTTTTTGCAAGCTTGCCTGTCTGTTGAAGGCAACAGGCGGTCGTTTTGCTTTCCGGGACAGCGGATGGCAGCAGATGCGCAAGGAGAATCTTGGGTTCACTTCTCTGCGTGCCGTGCACGCCTCGAGAGTCGCCCACTCCTCGTATCTGACGTCAACAAAGAATACCATAGGAACTGCCAGCAGCATCCGTGACCCGTGACTCGTGCTTTTGTACAGCACTGCTCAGTGCAAGGCTTGAATCAATGATTTGATCAAGCTGATCGGCAGCGAAGTATGATGTGGGGCCGGCGGATTCAATTCAAACCCGGCTAGATAGCCGCATTTCCATAGAATTTGTTTCTGCCGGACCCACCTCCTCCGTGTACGTGGTTTAGTAGTGAAGGGAGCTCGAACACAGCAGGCCTTGCAATCGAGACACTTCGTATGTATGGGGTTTAGAGGAAGACAATCAGGCCTTTTGACTTATTGGAGGCCATCTGCATTTCGAAGGAGTTCCCGCTATAGACTCTACCGATAATGGATCGCTTGAAGAAATCGAAAGATTACACCCTTAATTGACTTTCTTTTTATAATATATAATGAAATGACAAATCTGAAATATTAAAATATATGATACAAATACACGCAATTGAGCGGACAAGCTGTTTCCAACAACCGGCGATCGACACAAATCTGTTTATAACATAGAAGCCCCGAACCTCGAACCTCGAACCCTAAATCCCGACCCCGAACCCCAAAACTCCGAACCCCAAAACTCCGAACCCCCGAACTTGAACCCGAACCCCGCCCCGAATCCCGAACCCCGAATCTCGAACTCCGAACTCTCGGAACCTGAAACTCGAATCCCGATGCTTTGAAAATATAATATATATATATATATATATTGTCGAT